GATCATGCTATGTAGCCCTGACTGGCCTGGGCTCAGTATACACCCCAGGCTGACCTCAAACTTGTGATAATCATCTAATCTCTGTCTCTGGAGGGCCCGAATTATAGGTGTGAACCATCATGCCTGGCTGATACTTGTGTTTAGAAAGATCACTCAGAAGCCAGGTGTTAGTGCATGCCTGTAATCCCAGCATTTAAGGCAAGCCGACAACTCTGCAGCTACAAACACAGCTGGCCTCCTCTAATCCAAACAAACCAGATCGCATAGGTTGATGAATCAGTCCCCAAGACTGCTCCCTGACTCCCAGTTCCAGTCACAAGTCCCAGGTTGTTTTACCTGTGTTTCTGAGAAACAGCCATAATTTGGGGTTTCTGTAACCCTCCCTGGGTTCAAATAATTTGCTTGAGTGGCTCACAGAATCCAGGAAAACACTATTTGCTGGTTTATTATAAAAGAAGAGCTTACAGTTGAAGAATTACAGAGGGTGAAGTAGATGGGAAGATGTTCCGAGCCCGTGTACTCTCCAGACCCCGCCCCCAGCAGCCTGTATTCTCCCAGGCCCCGCCCCCAGCCTCCTGTACGCTCCCCAGCTTCCGGTACTCACCCAGGCCCTACCTCCAGCCTCCTGTATTCTCCCAGGCTCCGCCCCCAGCCTCCATAAGGTCAGCCTTTGGGCTTCTCACAATCCTATCCCTTCCGGTTCTTTTCTCAGCTCCTTTTGTTGTTGTTTTGAGACAAGACCTCACCATGTAGCTTTTACTGGCCTAGAACTCCCTATGTAGACCAAGCTGGCCTCAAACTCACCTACCTGCCTGTGCCTCCTGAATGCTGGAATTAAAGGTGTGCACAACCATGCCCAACCTTAAAAAAATGTTATTTATTTTTAGTGTTTGAGTGCTTTGCCTGTTGCATGTAAATGCATCATGTGCATGCAGTGCCCAAGGAGGCCAGAAGAGGGCATCGGATCCCTTGGAACTACAGTTACTGAGGGTTGTTAGCCATCAGGTGGGTGCTGGGAACCAAACCCAAGTCCTTTGGAAAAGCAGTAAGTGTTCTTAACTGCTGAGCTGTCTCTCCAGCCCCCTTAAATTTTTAAGATTCATTTTAAATTATTTGTATGTTTGTGCATGTTTGTTTGTGAATATATACACCTGAGTGCAGATGCTCATAGAGGCTAAAGATGTTGAACTCTTACTCCACCTGCAGCTGGAGTTACAGGTGGTTGTGACCCACCTGACATGGGTGCTGGGACGTGAACTTGGGTCCTCTATGAGAGCCTTATGCACTCCTAACTGCTGAGCCATCTCCCCAGCCCCAACTATAAAATTAAAACACAAACTTTATTATTATGTGTGTAGAGGACAGGATGACTTTGTAGAGTTGATTTTTCATCTGGATTCCAGGTCATCAGGCTTGGGTGGCAAACAACTTTACCTTCTGAGCTATCCCACCAGCCCACATTATTAACATATGAACATTCATGTACCAGTCTGAATGCTATCACTCCCAGAAAACACCACTGTCAACCTTGTAATCTGATTTGTTCTTGCCTTCTTCACTGAGTAGATGAAATATGTTAAGGTAGCACTGGGTGTGGTGGAGCACACTTTTGATCCCAGCACTAGGGAGGCAGAGGCAAGGGGATCTCTGTGAGTTCAAGGCCAGCCTGGTTTACATAGTGAGTTCCAGGCCAGCTGGGGCTATAGAGAGACCCTATCTCAAAATAAATAAATAAATATATATATATGTGTGTGTGTGTGTGTGTGTGTGTGTGTGTGTGTGTTAAGGTCTGTTTTTCTTTTTTTAATTTTTAAATTTATTTTTCTTTTGTGTATGAGTGTACTGCCTGCATGTAAGTGCATCCAATGTCATTCAATGCCCAAGGAAGACAGATGAGGGGTCGAATTCCCTGAAACTGGAGTTATAGATGATTGTTAGCTGCCATGTGGGATTCAAACCTGTGCCTTCGGCAAGAACAACTCTTAGCTATTGAGCCATCTCTCCAGACCCAGGGTATATTTTTCTTTCACTGGGATAGACCTAAAGTGGCAACCAACTAGCTCAACAAGTTTCACTTTATTAAGTCTTGGTCTAGTTGGTAGCTTGAAGTTGGGAGAGTAAGAACACAGTGTGGAGGCAACCCCATTCAGCTCCATCCTCTCCTGTGAACTACATCCCAGCTCTGATCATCCCGACTACATCACTCTTCTCTCCTCCCCACCTTAGCCTGCCACACAAGTGGAGCACCTCAGATCCACTGGAGTTGACTTTCTGGAACCCTACTGGTATCAACAGCATGCTAGTTCTCTCCCCCTCACTTGAGATCCCCTCTCCAAGACTTCATGCCAACTACTTTCCCCTCCAATGCTTCCTCAGCACACATTTATCCCACTCCTATGGAAGGGTTTTTACATGATCTCTCTAAGCACTGTAACATCTGTCAAAGGGTCTCCCCTTAATTCTAATAGTCCGTTCTTACCTTTCCCAACCTACCAACTCCCAGGCTTGGACTGTCAGGTTGACTTCAGTCACATTCTCAGGCTGGGTGGAGGCCTTCCCCACTGCTAATAAACCCTCCACTGTAGCCTCTAGCCTACTCAGGTCATCTCTAGCTTTGGGGTACTGGCCTCCCTCCAATCTGATAATGGCCAGGAATTTATTTGCCAATAGATCTGCTCAGTTATAAACATTTCCTGAACTTCTCCTTTCTTAACCTCTTCTCTACTAGTCCCTTGGACAATAGAGTGAAGGGAATCTTTTAAAAGCACTCTAACTGGCTTCTTAGTCCACTGGATCCCTCTCCTACCTCTAACTCTCCTCAAACTTCCTGTGCTCTTGGGACTCAGCCCTTCGGAGCTAATGCAGAGGCGCCCCCTTTTGGCCATACCCTGCCCCCAGTTTGACTCCATCAAAAGACCCTCCTCCTTCACTGAGGAACCCTCTGCTTCAATTACTTCGGACCCCCCCTTTGACTTTTACTGATTTCCTTGATCCCACTCCTCACTCTGTCTTCCTATTCCTTCAGCTGGGAGACCTTGCTTTCAACCCACTTGTGAGAACCCCGCTTAACCCACCCTGGGAAGGTCCACACAGAGTCATCATCCTTACCATCCCCACCACAGTCAAACTTCAGGATCCATCGCTCTCATTAGCACTACTCTCCCCTAAAAAGGCCCCCTGAGACCTTGAAAATGGAAAACACTAGTTACTAAATACTCTTCCACCCCCACAGGACCTAACTCCACCCCAACCCTGACTCTCCTCTTTCTCCCCATCCCTTGGATAAGACTCTAGTTCTTACTCAAATGCCTAGAACAAACCTTTGGAAGTCCCATAATTCCTCCCTTTATTCCTTGGGTTGGGTCTGCCTCTACCTGCCTCAAGTAGCCTAGCAAGCCTTCTTGACAGATCACTGCTTGGCTCTCTTCAGCAGTGGCAGACCACCATACAACCAGGACACCCTTGAATTTGATACATGCACAAGGATGGCTAGAGATGTCACCAAATGAGCCACCACAATCAATTTCCAGAAAATTTTTACCCACCTACAACTCTCTCAATGTCTTTTCAAGAGACTATACCAAAAGGGGCCTTCTTCTGGTCTACCAAGCCCATCTATGCATCTCCTGACCACCTCCCACTCTCCTCGACAGTCAAAAGCTTCCACTCTAAGTTTTGTAACCACAGTTGCTCCCACCCACCATTTTAATACACCTATGGATGTTCAATCCAGCAACTCCTTAGACTGACGGGACCACCCACCTTTAACCAATCAGAAGCCAAAACCAGATTTCTACTCTTGCTTAGCCCTAGAAGTACCCTCTCTAGACCATCAGGCCACCCCTTGCAGCCTCTCACAGCCCCAGCCTTTGGGCACTCATCTCCCTCTGGCACATGAGCTTTAACACAGAGGGAGTCTCTTTCAGCTTTGACCGTTCACCTTGCCTGGCTTACATCACTAGCCTTCTGATTTGCTGCCTCCCCACTAACTCAACAGACATGTACTATCACCTTGTTTCCCACAATCTCACGTCTTCCCATTGACACACCTGTCCTGACCTCTGACCTCTGACCTATGTCAGGGCATGCCAGACAGTAGAGGTGATCTCTCTCCTAGCAACCTTGGAGGTCCTGACAGGGTGGGTAATTATGCTCCAGCCTGGAGGTAACCCTTCACTAGTTAACCCTTCTTTCCAAACAACCATCAGAGAGCCTCAGCCATCAGCTCCTGGCAGTCCAAGGTCAGATTTGATACCCCAGCTGCTATTGTTTTATAGAACCACTCGCTGGGCCAGGTCTTGCTCTCCTGGTGCCACCCATGGAGTCTCTGCACTTCCGAACAGTGTATTAACTCTGGGCAGAGACGGCACAAAGATGAAAGACTAGAACCATTGCCCTTCAGGCTTTCAACTCATGACCGACCCTTCCTTCTCCTGGCCGCTTCCATTGGCCACCCCCTTCATACTATCATCCTGAGTTCCTCCTCCTCTTGTGTTCCTCCTCTTTCCCTCTTTTATTAACCTCTTTCAAACTTTTCTGACTGTCCCCCTTCAGGCCCTTGGCTCCCAAGACCATAGTTCCTCCTCTGTTGGAAACATTGTAAGAGACAGCCTAGCCCCTCCTCCCACCTAACTAGAGCCTGAATTGAGAGGAGAGACTCCACTCCTGCTCCATCTCCCTCCTGTAAACTGAATTCTGCCTCAAAAGCCCCATCCCCTCCTGTGATTATATTCCAATTTGAATAGCTCCTCTTTCTGTGGCATTCCTACACATCCTAGTTTAACCATTAACCTTACAGGGGAACTGGACCTCAACCTCGTTTCACTGTCCCAGCATGATAAAAACCCTAGCCTGTGAGAGAAATTTGCTCTCTTGCCATCTCTGACAAAAGCCCTTCTCAGGTTGATTCCCTAATAAACTTGTTCCCATTCTCATGGAGCCTCCATGGGGGCCCTCTCCCACATCTTTCTTTTCTTCTTAAGAAGTCTCTTAAATGTATGATACATTTCCTGAATTTGTATGTACTCCTGTCATCCTTGCATAGGGGCCATGCTAATTGTTTCTATATTGTTTCACTTTTAATATTTGTGCTGCTGAAACAAGCAATTTCTATTTAGATCAGTCTGACCTGGAACTCACAGAGATCCACCTGCCTCTGCTGGGATTAAAGATATGTGGCACCATGCCTAGCTTGTTTATTTTTGAGACAGGGTCTTACTCTGTAGCCCAGACTGACCTGGAACTTATTATGTAAGCCAGGCTGATCTTAAATTGGTGGCAATCCTCTTGCCTCAGTCTTCCAAGTGCTGGGATTAGAAGCATGGGCCACCATGCCCCTCAGTCTATTTCTTATTAAATAGTGTAAGTCATGAAATGCATTCAGCTGGACAGTGGGAAAGCCTAGCATCTTTCCTAGTAAGGGAAGTACAAAGCCAGGCTTGGTGGCACACACAAGGACCAGCACTTGGGAGGTTGAGGCAAAAGAATCTAGAGATCCTGGCCTACATAGAGCGTTCCAGGCCAGCCTATATATACTGTGACCCTTTCTCAGAAAGGGTCAACCATTTAGAAGGGTGGCAACCAGGAATGGTGACCTTAGATGAAAAACCTCATCTTAAGTTTCCTGCCTGAAAGAGAGTTGTATCTATGTGGTTGATTGGCATATATTTGGTTGGTTGGTTGGTTTTTCACATAGGAGTTAACTGAGCAGGTCTGAATGCTGAAGGAGAGGGTGTAGAAACAATGTGGGAGAAGGTAGAGAGGCCAGTGGGAATCTTGGACCTTCAATGGTGGGCTTAGCTGATACCAGCAAAGGAGGGACAGAAAGGGTGCTGCCACAGCGTTGAGCTTTGATTGTAGGCTGTGGGAAGAGTAAGCTGCCAACTTTGCTCTGAGTCAAGGGAAGGACACGTACTAACTTTGCAGAGAAAAGGCCTGGCTGAGAAGGGTTCACTTGGATCCAGCACACTGGCCTCCTTTGTCTGGCTTCCTGCTTCTACTCTGACACTCTCCCCACTCCTTGAGCGTTCTCAGCACAGTGAAGTGAGATGGTGTCATTCCTTCACTTCCAGTCAGTGATAGTGAAGTCAGGGTCTTCACAGGGCTTCCCTGCCAAAGTCATCTGGCACTTTTGGTCCCCCCCTGGCACTTTTGGTCCCCCCCTGACTCCATCTCCTGTTACTCCCTTCTTGCTCCCTCTGGGTCAGCCAAGTGAAGTCCCATGAGCACTAGCCACAGGGCTTTTGCACTAGCTGCTTTTTCTGATAGAACAGGCATTATTCAATGTTTGGCCCACTAATTTCTTTTTATTTTTATTGTAGATGGATGTTCTGTGCATTGTAAAACATTTAGTACTGGAAGCTGGAGAGATGGCTCAGAGGTTAAGAGCACATTCCTCTTGCAGAGGATCAGGGTTTGGTTCCCAGAACCCACATGTCAGGTAACAACCATCCATAACTCCATTTCCAGGGAATCCGACACTCTTCTGGTTCCACGGGCATTGCAGTCATGGGTGCACTTACATACATGATGTCAACATACATATACATAAGAAATAAAAATAGATAAAAGATATTTGGGTCAGGCGTGGTGGCACATGCCTTTAATCCCAGCACTCGGGGGGCAGAGACAGGTGGATCTCTGTGAGTTCAAGGCCAGCCTGGTCTACATAGTGAGTTCCAGGCCAGCTGGGGCTACAGGGAGACCCTGTCTCAAAAAGACCAAAAAAAAAAAAGATTTATTTTTAATTGTCTGTACCGCGTGTGATTGCGTACACAGAAGTATGGTTGTGAGATGCCCAACATGGGTGCTGGAGCCGAATTCAGGTCTTCTGCAAGAACAGCAAGCACTCTTAACCACAGCTCCTTGTGCTTTATTGTTGGTAGCCTGGTCTATATATGTAGCAAGTTTCAGGCCAGCCAGGGATGCATAGTGAGACCTGTGTTAAAAAAAGAGGGGCTGGAGAGATGGCTCAGCGGTTAAGAGCATTGACTGCTCTTGCAGAGGGCAGGGGTTTGATTCCCAGCACCCACATGGTGGCAATGAGTTGTCCTTAACTCCAGGGGAATCTGAAACCCTCTTCTGGCCTCTGAGGCATTGCACAACATGGGTGCACTCACATACATGCAGGCAATACACTCATACACATAAAATAAAAATAATAATTTTTTAAAGAGAGAGAGAGAGGAAGGAAGGAAGGAAGGAAGGAAGGAAGAAAAACGTGGAGCAGTCATAAACAAGCAACAAGGATTGTATGATGACATAATTGCCTCAAATATGGGGCAGGGCACATCTGCTTTGGTTTTCCCAGTAGTGATGTAAGAAGCATGACTTAGTCTCTAACATGATTCCAGAGACCTGTGATTAACAACAAACCAAAGTTCAAAAAAACTCCTCCTAATCTTGGTATGGGGATCATGGTGCAATTTCTTCTGCCATCCTCCCAAAGGGTGGGGTAAAGATAGCTCTTCACTTGAACAATGTGAATCCTGGGTATTTCTCAAACACCTTCCATGCAAGCTACATCACATGGGTTGGTAATGAGCCTTGGCCTTGTAACTGAGTCAGCTGAGCCCTGAGCCTAGCCTACAGCAATGTCTTAGGAGAGCAAGAGTCATCTGAGTGGCTAAACAAGAAGTCCTGATTCCCCAGTCTCTCAGCAGAGTCTGAAGCCTGATGGTGAGGTGGCCAGAACGCTACCAATAAGTCCCTGTAGTTGGTCAAGTGTAGATTCTACTTCCTATAGACTTGAAATTGGGCTCAAAGACTGGGGAAAGCTAAAGGCACATAAATACTCAGACCTGGACAGAAAAAACCCTTCACCAAGTCTGCTCTGGGGTTCTACAGGAAGAGTGACCAAGGGACTAGAGAGCTGGTTCAGTGGTTAAGAGCATTGGCTGCTCTTGCCGAGGACCTCATTCAGTTCCCAGCACCCACATGACAGCTAACAACCATCTGTAACTCCAGTTCCAGGGGATCCAACACCCTTTTCTGTCCTCCTCAGGCATTGAACACCTGGGTGTACTTACATACTTTCAGGCAAAACACTCATACACATAAAATAAAAACCAATTTTTCTTGTTTTGCTTTGGTTTTGAGACAGGGTCTCCCTGTAGTCCCCACTGGCCTGGAACTCACTATGTACACCAGGCTGGCCTCAATCTCACAGAAATCTGCCTGCCTTTCCTATTGTGTGCTGGGATTAAAGGTGTACATTGTAATGCTGAGAGAGACACAAGGAACACCACACAGTGACAGTCAATTTGAGTCCTTTATTACTAGCTGGTAGTCACAGAGGGGGCTAATGCCCAAAAGAACTCTTTTTTTTTGGTATTTTTGAGACAGAGTCTCCCTGTAGCCCCAGCTGGCCTGGAACTCACTATGTAGACCAGGCTGGCCTTGAACTCACAAGAGATCCTCCTGCCTCTGCCTCCCGGGTGCTGGGATTAAAGGCATGCACCGCCACACCCAGCTCCAAAAGAACTCTCGACCCCAAGGAGAAGCAGGACAGGTCATGTCGTTAGTGTTCCCAGTTGTCCCTCAGTGCAAGTTCATTCACGGAGGTCTAGTCAACCTATCTAGAGTCCCTCCCTTTAAGATCAGCTCTTTCTCACCCAGGAATAATCAGCTGCCAATAATTCTTTGAGCAAGATTGGGGCCTGATGTCCATTTCCACAGTTCTGTGCTGGGTTTTTGTCTGCTTGAGTTTGCATGGGCCTTGTGCCTGCTGACACCATTGCTATAGGTTCATATGAGAAGGGTCCCAGGAGCCTGTAGGACTTTATTTCTGCATGGTCATGCACCGCCTCCATGGTTCTTACAGTTTTTTCTACCCTCTCTTCTGCAATGATCCCTGAGCCCTGGGAGGGTGGATTTTTAATATATGAGACATGTCCAAGGACCTACAGTCTGTAAGTTTAAGGCTCCATATTTTGTACATAGTAAGAAATTACATTTGTCTAGGAATGTGACAGCCCTGCGGTTTTCTCTAAGATCTGTGACCTCTTCAGCTATGTTTACAGTTATCACACTTGAGTTTCTTCCCATTGAGTGGGCCTTAAGTCCAATTAGGTAGCTGTTGATTGCCCCCAGATAAAAGTGCCACTGCTGCACCAATGTTGTTTTCTGTGCTGGTCATTGATGTGGTTTTTAGGCCTTAAAGCTGGGGTTGGACAATTGATTGATGTTCTCCCTTACCTGCTTGTGTACTCTCCAAAGCTATGAGAACTAGCCTTCAGGGGAGGTGGCTTCCAGGTCAGTTCCAGCTCCATTATTCCAAATCCTGTGTCCGAAGTATGCCGGTCTTCAGCAATAGGGTCTTACGTTCAAGTTTTGGGAGGTAATCAAGGGCTGTGGCCATAGCTTGTGTAATTTTGGGAGTCTCTTGGACTACCCTGACCAACAACTCAAAGGAGGTTAAAGGAGGTTTCTCCTGTCTGGCACAGTTTCTTGTTATAAAATGGACTCTTGTGGAGATATTGTATGTATAATTTTTCAATAGGATTTTGGACTAATACAATTCCCTCTGGGTTTTTTTTTTTTTAATACTAGCTAGGTATTATTTATCTCTCCTCTCTCTCCTGTCTTATCCTCCCTCCCTGCCATCCCCATTTAAACATCCCCATTTTTTCCTTGATAATTCCTGTCTGCTATGGTCTCAACTCTCTTGAGTGCTTTACCCTTTATCCCCATAGTTCCTTGTATAGCAATCTTTCTCCCCCTCCCATTTAATAACCCCCATTTTACACATTTCTCCCTTAATAACACCTGTCTCCTACCATTCTTCTCTCTCAGGTTCCTTCTTTTCCTTTACCTCCCTGGTTCTCTTCTATTTTCCTGGTTCCTGCAGTTACATCAGGATATATACTCACATATAAGGATTTGGTGCTAAGATCCACAAATGAGGGAGATTGTCCATCTTTTGTTTTTCTGAGTCCATGTTACTTCACTTAGTACAGTTTCCAGTTCCGTCTATTTACCTGCAAATTTCATTATTTTATCTTTCGTTAACACTAAGTAGAACTCCAGTGTGTAAAGTACCACATTTTCATTAACCATTCATCAGTTGAGGGACACTTAGATTGCTTCCATCTCTTAGCTATTGTGAA